TAACCAATTCAGTAGGTATTATTCACATCACATCATCATCACATCAACAGCCTTCAATAGTCCACTGCTGGACATAGGCCTCTCCTTAGAAAGGAGGTTTTAGCCTACTATACCACGCTGGCCAGACGGGTTGGTATAGGGTTTGTGTCAAGTTTTCCTTCTTTTTACAGTGCTGGTGTCCTGCGTTGTTTTGCGCCCTTAGTCGGCTCTTACGACACCCACGGGATGAATTGGGGTAGTGACATTTCTTATTCTTAATCCGTCACTACACGTACATGACGGGCCTGTAGGTATACCTATTAGTACGAGCAAATTGCAAATTCAAACTATAATATGATAACGCAGTGACGTCATTTAATTTTTTTTACAGTTGCTTATATCATGCCATTTTCCCATATTTTTAATTTTTTTAGATTTCTGCTTATTCAGTTGTTTATTTCTGCTTATTTTACATTAAGTACTTTACCCACCTAAGTATTTGAAAACACTTTCCACCGCGTGCCAAGTTACTATTCTCTTCTCATATTAATATACAGAAGATTGTCCGTGCTACCACTCCTGTTCATCCCTGGGTGTCGTAAGAGCCATCTAAGGGAGCAAACTCAACAGGACAACAGTATTGAAATGAGAAGGCAAACTTGACACAAACCCTGTACCAACCCGTCTGGCCAGCGTGGCATAGTAGGCCAAAACCTCCTTTCTAAGGAGAGATCTATGTCCACCAGGGACTATTAAAGGCTAGGAATAATAATTGCCTCGCACATCTCACGCTCGACCGTCTGATCCCAAACTAGGCAGAGCCAGAGTACTATGGTAACCAGACTGCTGATAAACATACTTATATATTTCTAAATACATACATATTATAGATAAAGTACAGACACTGAGCGAATAATCGTACTCGTCACATGATATTAGTTCTGGTCGGGAATTGAACTCACGACCTCTGTCTTAACGCTCAGGATCAGGAACCACTAAACCAACAGACCCGTCAGTATCCCTTCTGTTATTACATCATATCATTGAAAAAAAAAAACAGAAATATAAAATATATGAATAAATAAAAATCTGAATCCATCTCTTCAAAAATTAATTATGAACATGTTGAATCATTAAAATATACTGTTTGAATTATATTTTGCATACTTATAAATTGATAAATTTATGTTGAAATTAGGATTAATGTAAGCTAAATTTAAATTATAAATCATTTTTTTATTTTGCTATACTTCTGTCGACCAAATATTGATGATAACTAGACAAATTGCTACAAAGCTTTATTTAAGACTGGCCTTTAACTACCGCTTCAACTTGTGGTCGATTTTGTTGATCTAGTGGTTAGTGACCCTGACTGCTAAGCCGGTCAAAATCGGTTCAGCGGTTTAAGCGTGAAGAGGAAACAGAGATCGTTTGAGTCCCGGGAAAGGACATAGGCTTTTTACCCCGATAACCGATACACACGCGGGCTGAGCCGGTAAAGGCGGCTGACACATTATTTTTATTTGTTTTTAATAATATTTTCGAACATCTGACACAACACCATTTGGTTTCAAACTAAGCAAAGCTAGTACTGTGAAAGCTAGATTGACTGATAGAATATTTATACTTTTTTTGTAAATACATACATTATTATACACAGAAAACACCCAAACTCCGAAACAAATATTTACAGATCATACAAACATTTGGTCCGAACCGGGAATCGAACCCGAGACCTCAGTTCAGCAGTTGCATAGGCTACCACTGCACCACCGAGGCAGTCACACACAAATGTTTCAACATTACTAACATTTGTGACTCGCGAGTAGCAGGTATCCGTAAACAGCGGTAGTCACTTACCATCAGGTGTATGACCTTCTCATTTGGCTCCTATAAAATGAAAAAAAAAACGATGGCACTCCGGCAGTGCCGACAGAAGTGAAAACTTGTTTTTTTTTTATATTATAAAAGGCTTTTTTTGTTTTTTTTTATTCGAAAAGTTCCGACATGAATTTATATCTATGTTGTACGTATACACAATATATGTTTAGATTATTTTTAGTTATATTACCAATGTATTTCAACCCAAACTCAACTCTCGTGTAAACGGGGCCAATATATGTAGGTACTTATATACAGAGGTGTCGGTAACGGTAACAGTGTCGCGAGTTCAATGGTTTTTCCCATCACAAAAATACATTTTTTTGTTTGTTGTTCATAAATGTCCAACGCGCCTAAAGATAATAAAAAACGTAAATAATCTAGACACTAACTAAAATATTTAATATACGGAGCCCTTCAAAACATAACCTAGCTCTCTGACCATTTTTTTTTAATTTTAAACTTAATGCAATGCTTCTGTCAGCGTCAGGCGTTATCGTGCGCTTGTCATAGTGAAATGACATTAAAAAATTTTGCTACCTACCCTCGATAATAAGAAATGAGTCTCAGATTACTTTGTGAGTAGGTAAACCGCTGTAACCGCTTAACAGAGATACGTTCTGAATTCGTGCATAGAGATAACTTAATATCATTTTTTTTAAACTAGCGTTAGTAGAGGATTTAACAGCATCGGAGATCGGGGTTCGATACCCTCTCAGTGCAAATATATGCTGCCATAGGAGTATTATACCTACAAACATAGGACGAATACACACAGATGTAGCTAATACTAGTATTAATACTCCGAGATAATGAAAATTATAAACTAAATATAATGCTTGTACCTCAAAGTTTTTCTTTAAGAATGGTTTAGAATCTTAACCCTCCAAACTCAATGCAAAAACAATCATTTCCACACGAAGATCAAAACACTATGAGGTAACCGTGTGAAAATCAACACTCGTTGTCATTGCTTTTGCACCCCCGCAGCGTTCGAGGGTTATTTCATTTGTCGCCAACCAAGGGTTGATTGCACTTGATTAGGCAGCAATGTCGCGTATTTCAACATTTAAAAAGGAAATATTTTTTCGGCAAGTCTTCAAAAGTAAACTTTTTTAGATTTATTATTCTGTATTTTTAATAATAAGTAGGTACCTAATATGGCCTTTTTATGCTTCAAATACTTTGAACAACTGATTTATTGTTCGAGTGTTCGGACCTCCCAGGAACACAGCTAGTTCAAGTTACCGGTATGCGAACTTGTTCGTATGGTGACGGATGGAACATACGGAACGTCACTACCCCTATTCATCCATTCATCCCGTAGGTGTCTTAAGAGTCGACTTAGCGAGCAAACTACGCAGGACAACAGCACTGCAAAGAGAAGTTAAACTTCAAAAACAGGCCTTTTTGACGTGTGGAGACCACCTCGGGCCGTCACCCCCAGTTTGCGGCGGGGTGGTGTGTCGGAATCGGACCGACTAAAACCAAACGGTGTACCACTCTGCGCCTGCAATAGGAGGAATCCCGGAACTGCTGTTTTTAAGACATCCAGACTCACTTGAAACAGAGCTATGCCAACCCATCTGGCTAGCATGGTATAGTAGGCCAAAACCTCCTGTCTAAGGGAAGGACTATGTCCAGTATTGAACTGTTAAAGGCTGTTGATGATGATGATGAACCTGACGACTTGCTTAATCCCTCCCTAAAAGCAGAATTCATTTCATTAGCATCCCCTAGTTCTATCTGTATCTGAGGCTTTCTTCTTTCGCTGCATCTTATCATCTGATAGAGAATGGAACATCAGCATGTATAGTATCCAAATATTAATGGCCCTATTATTATCTAATTGCCGTATTTTTCAACCTGACTTCTACGTCTAGTCCGCCAACAAGCCGAAGACAACTTGTACCCCTAAAAACTAATATTTCAATATTTCTCCACAAACCAATTATCCACACGCGTCTTCGAAAAACAATTCACCACTCAAAGGCATGATACATTTACAATTCCACCCCGGGACGAGGGCTGTTCTCACCCCCGGCCGCCTGTCCCACGCTAATTGTAAAGTCAACACTCACAAAAACTGTTTTTACTGATTGTTTGTGTTTTTTGGCAAGTGCATACACCCTCAGGACTTGAGGGTGTGAGGTGGAAGGTGTGTTGTTTTTTTAGAAAAGTGTGAGATGATTTGGAGATGGGTATTTTGTTTGTTTATAGGGAGGTCTGGCTCATTGGTGTGACTATTTGGTTGGTCAATTAAGCACTAACTGGTAGAAGGTTTTATTGATATTCCTCGCAAATGGGCTGGCTTGACCGGAGTCGTATCATGGCGCATCAGAAAACCGGTGTTAAGGAATTCTCTCGTTGCTTTGAGCAAGTGACTGACCCTCCCCACTGGTTACAGCCCTCTGAGGACGAGCCCTACTCGTGATTCTTGAGCTGCAGGTGTCAGACGGACTGTCTGTTTGTTTCTCCCCCTATATAACCATAACCATAAAATTAACTTTTCCAGAGATGTATATATTGTAGGTTTCAATGCATTCTCAGCGAGTCCTATAATTATTACATTACTTAATAAAACTAACATTAGTTTTTATAATAACATTAATAATATCGCATATTTGACTTCTACTTAATGACTTATAGCATTGAATCCATACTATCCAATCTCGTACTAAAATCTGTCTAGTCTGTCTGTCACCTCTTCACGCTTAAACCGCTGAACTGATTTGGATGAAATCTGATATAGAGATGATCCGAGTCCCGGCAAAGGACATAGAGTAGGTTTTATCCTAGAAATCATTCTTTAAGAGGGTGAAAAGGGGGGTGGAAGTTTATATGAGGATACTTTGATTCTTGAGGAAACACATAGGCTACCTTTTATCGCGTTAACCGACATTTACGCGGGCGGAGCCGCGAGCAATAGCTAGTCACTTTATATTTTAAATACCCTATACCAACCCGTCTGGCCAGCGTGGTATAGTAGGCCAAAACCTCCTTTCTAAGGAGAGGCCTATGTCCAGCAGTGGACTAGTATAGGCTGTTGATGTGATGATGTGATTATATTTTAAATACATTTTCTCCTTATAAAACTCCAATAGTACTTTTATTCATACATTATATTTTTCCATCCCCAGATCAACATGAAAAGTTATGGAGTTGGAGTAAGTCATATATTAATATACTTTTTACAATTACTTCATAGATCTTTATAAGATTTGGATATCTTATAACTTATATTACTAAAACTACTTAACGCTTCCTATACATATGTCGTTCAATACTAAACTTATAAGTTCATGAGTTAAACTCAAACTTTGCAATTCGTCATCATCATCAACAAGCCTTTAACAGTCCACTGCTGGACATAGGTGTCTCCTTAGAAAGAAGGTTTTGGGGTACTATACCACGCTGGCCAGACGGGTTGGTATAGGGTTTGTTTCAAATTTTCCTTCTCTTTGCAGTGTTATTGTCCTGCGTAGTTTGCTTCCTTTGCCGGTGACACTCCGTATTCTTAATTCTAACCTCTAAAAACACATATATTTCTAAATACATTTCCATACTAATATTATAAATGCGAAAGTTTGTCTGTCTGTCTGTTGTCTCTTCACGCTTAAACCCCTGAGCCGATTTAGATGAAATTTGGTACAGAGATAGTTTGAGTCCCAGGAGTTTTTATTCCAGAAATCACTCTTAAAGGGAGTGAAAAGAGTGGTGGAAGTTTCTATGAGGAATCAATAACCACTGAACTGATTTAGATGAAATTTGTTATGGAGATAGATTTTTGAGGAACGTTATAGGCTACTATTTACCGCGTCAACTGACATACACGCGGGCAGAGCCGCGGGCAAAAGATAGTTGTAAATAAATTACACCCAGACACGGAACAAATGATCGTGCCTATCACACAATTAATTGTCGTGACCAATCGAACTCACGACCACTGGCCTAACAGTCAGAATCACAGCACTAGACCAACGGCCCCTTAGGATCGGTAACCCGTTAGAGTTTTATTTTAGTTTCAAACCCTTACTTGTTAACGTCGGAGTTAACACATAGTACTTATTAAACTCTCTGAAAGGTCTATGGCGTAGGTAAGTCACTACTACAACAGTGTTGCCATCCTATATATTTTTTTACACGTTCCACTTAGCCGCACGTGGCAAATGACGTGTCGTTCACGTGTCAACACGCGCAGGATGAGTTTAATTAAATTACCGCTTCATCTTTTTGCTGGTAGGTGTATCTCAGTAATATAGTGTCTATACCTATATTTCGATAACATAACAATTTGAAGTAGGTAGGTACGTAATTAACCAACTAGAAATCGCTGAATTACAATTGTAGTAGACGACTCTGCGGTATGACGAAGACTGGTGTTTATTTAATGGCCACCCATCATCAAACTTCTTCTATACCTGGCTTATATTACGATGTGCCATTGTTAAAGAAGAAATGATAGTTATATACCTACAAATTTCGCCATTTTATGCCATGCGATGACTTTTCTCTATGATCACCGTCTATTTGTTTATGGTTCGAATGGATAAATTTATCAGAAGTTATTAAGTAAGCGTAGAGTGTACACGTGCCGGTCACGCGCTCTCTTTTTATCTGTTTGCTCAGCAATTCGCACTGAATAAATTCATAGTCAAATAATTTATTAGTTAACTTAGTATGGTTGTTAATCTTTAGAAGGGTAAAGATATTTAGAGGACGATATATGACTTATTTGCACTAGTTTATAATGCCACTGTGTGCTTGTTTAAACGTGTATTTATCTAAATATAAATAATTTTTAAGTGTGAGATTGCATTTTTTTTTATTTTAAAATGCCTAAGACGGGCTGGACATAAACTAAGGTTTCAATACCGTCGGGATTATTCGAAGTGTAGTCAAATAGTACAGTTACTGAAGAAATTAACATAAATTATTTCTACTAGCGTCTTTTAAAAGAAATAAAATTAACAAAATTGTATGTTTCTGTGCATGATTATTGGTACATAATAAAAAGTAATTGCCTAAGTATGGTGAAAATAAGTTATTAAATAGCTTTTATGTAATCAAGTCTTTTAAAGCATATGAAATATAGCTTTATTATTTTTACGTTTGTTATAAGGTAGGTATATTTAATTGTTAAAGAAAATTGTGAATGAAAATGATTTGAAGATAGCTGAGTCTAATTATATACCTGACGTTTCGGCCAGGTTGCGCTGACCGTGTATTAGGGTTTTCCTTCCTAGGATACACCTGGTTCCCCGGCAACTGGTACGAAAGACGGCGTGCGGTTTTTGGTCGGTTCGAGTCCGACATAACCACTGGTGGGTGGTATCGGAGGGGATTTGCGCACAGGAAAAAAAAAAAAAAGATTGCACTGACCGTGACACAGACTAACTCGTGTGTGCAACCTGGACAAAAAATCAGGTAATTCAAAAATTACGTTGATTCTCGTAATCGGCCATCACAGAACGCAAAAGTATAATTGTTAGTTTAGCCTACGTCGCAATTTTTTATATGATGAAAGACCTATAGAACGTACTGTGTCGGTATTTATTGAGGAGTACCAGACTTAGTTCGTCAGTCAGCTACCGTATTACAAGTGCCTTTATTAGTATCAGCCTTTTATTGTACACTGCTGAACATAGGCTTGTCCTAATGAAAGCCACTGAGATCAATCGTCAGTCCTCCTCGTCCAGATTTTCCCAGTTGTTTTGCACAGATCATCACTCAACCTGGCCGCAGGGTATTCTACACTACGTTTCTCTAGACGCGGTCTCCACCTCAGAACTATTCTTTTACCCCAACTATTATGGATTCTACGGGCAATGTGGCCAGGCCATTGCCACTTGTATTTGCCAATTCTTTAAGCTGTTTCATATTACAAATAAAGTTTGTATACCTAAACTTTAACCCTCACAAAAAAACTCTTAGTTCGTAATAACCAATTTTAATTTAAACTTCCATCCAAATTCTATTAAATAATAAAATTACTCCTATCTCCGATCTATTCAATGGCCATTAAAACAAATTTAACGCCCCACTCACCACACGATACGAAAACAAGCAAGCCCCCACGCTTAGTGCTCAACCATTAAAGGAATAATACAAGAACGGATTCGAACCCCCGACCCTTATCTCGGTAGCCCACTCGTTACAAGTTTATCGTGGCCTCACACGATAAGTTAATCCTCCGTGTAAGACATTCGAGAATATCGGATCTCTCTTTCTTAACAATTTTAACGTACCTATAGATTTTGGGAAAACATTTTATGGATGTAATTAAAACAGTCTTTGGTTGTTACACCATTGAGGTTGCTAATTAGCATTTAATCTTGTTTTTAAATCTTTTTATTTCTTCTTCCAATTATCTTTTATTGTATAAATATTATCATACTATTACTTTTCAAGTTAATCAAAGCTAAAGCAGCGCGTTTAATCCACAATTAAGACATCCCCAGGTCTGTTCTTATATTTTATGGTTTACTTTTACCTATAATTATTATATTTTCTGATTTTATGCAGATTATTATGAAATAAAAAAAATATTTTGTCAGCTATTCCAAAATGTTGTGCTTAAAAATTACCCTGTGTTACCTGGAAGGGGCGAAGGGCGTCCCGAATGAACCTCCATCTTGAACAGCCTTGAGCTCTACGCTTGATTTCGCTCCACGCCTTGCTGACTCCTCTGTTATTGTTTATTGCCAGTTTTAACCAGTACTTAATATGCATCTCTACAAATTACGCCAATTTATTTAACTTTATGCACTTTTGTACATCGGCGGACTTAATGCCCACGGCATTCTCTGCCAGTCAACCGTGGGGTGGTGTAGAAATCATGTAATTCGCTACATACATAAACATATACACACATACAGCATAAGACATCATAAATAAACATACATTTATAGATACATAGACATATCATATACGTACACTATGAATGTCGGAATATGAGGTGTACTATGGATTAGATAGTTCTGCCATTTCGTTATAGGTACAATTCAATTCAATATGCTCAAAGCACACACAAAAAATTGTAAGTAAAAGATTCTCTTCATTTCCACCTTAAATAACTCGTCTACTTATATTTATTATGTTATTTACCAAACCACCCCTACGACAGTAACGAATAAGCAATAATTTATTAGATATATTTCAATTTACCAACAATTCGGTTAGCACCCCTGAAACAGGGTTGCCACATTATCATGCTAATAAAATAACTCACTGCATACTGTATTTATTACCACTCGAATATCAACTCTACAGCACTGAGAATAAAGAGCAATATTATATAATGACGAATGTATTTCCCCTCTACGGTAATCTGTCATAACTTGTCATGTTTCGCACCCCTAGTTCAGTGTTGCCAACGCAATTTATGTGTTAACATGATTTATAGGACCTTTAAATGGTCTACCCATTCATTATATACTGTGCTGTACATATTATTTACTTGATTAAAATAGATGTAAAGCTTATATTTTTGTAAAATGTATAATCATTATAAGTAAATGTTGTGAAAGTTGTGAAATCTCAAAGTGCCCACTTTGAGATTCCCAACTTTCACAACATTTCCTAGACATTTCTCGGAATTCGAAAATTACAAAGAACCACGCTACCACCAAATAGGAACCGAGCATCAGTGAAAACTGTTGCAAAAAGGGGGCAAATTATTTCTTTTGAAATACGAAGTTGCGCGGGTCAGTTAGTTATAGATAAATTACACCCAGACACAGAACAAATGATCGTACTCATCACACAATTATTCTCAATTAATCTTGGGTGGGAATCGAACCCACGACCTGTGGCTTAGCAGCCACTAACCTCTAGATCAACAGGCCCGTCAATGTGTAGATGTATGTATGATGTGTTTTTTTATTTGAACATACACACACATAACATATTTCATTGGTTGTTTTTTTGTTCTTTTTACGGTTTATGCGTAATTAGATTTATAGATATAAACTTTATAATAGTTTTTAAACCACCACGACATACTTATAGTCTTTCGGTTACCTTTATAAAACGTTGTTTAACATCAGTTTCCAACAAAATGGGCATCGCAAATACCTACATATATTTTAAAATAATTATTATCGTCTCCCTATCAGGCAACGAAAATCAAAGAGGATGTTTCTCTACCCTCAACCGAGAATGCTCT